CATTTTTTGTAGCGGAATGATTTAGCAAAACCTTTTTAGTTGCCTGAAGATCAGAAGAACTGATATTACTAGTCATGGGATGTTAACCTCTGGAAGGGGTGAAGTTTATAGGCTTTTGCTCAAAGAATTGTAAATGGCTGCTGATTCCAGATTTTATTACCTTAAGGCAGAAATATGAGTCGCATAAAATGGAATTACTTTGTGACCTGTAGTAGCTGACAGGTGCACCCACAATTCCCTGTTATTCTCTTCAGTGTAATCTCGGCATTTTTATCTCCTCTATTCCCAGCATACAGAACATGTGTGTGATGTGAACAGATGCACAGAAAAAAAAAAAAATTAATAAGGAAAAAACAGCATGCATGAAACACAGTCCCTCATATTAAGTGATTGTTAAAATAACAGATTACTTTTTATTTATTTGTTTTCATTTTGCTTCTTCTAAATCTTAATAAAAATCTAAAACATCACAGTTCTAGGCTAGAAATATTTTTACCATTAAACTGCTCTGGCATTATTGGTAGACTTTGCTGAAACAAGTTAGCTGTGCTGACTGTGAAAACAGAAAATTCCTGCTAAGGAATACCCCCTTAGCTTTTGGAGTTTGTGCCTAGCAAGCCAGACCTCTAAACTTACATGATTACCCGAGTCTTTCTAAGCCATAGTAGATCTGTACATAGTGAATTTCACGCACACGCTGTGTTATAATGATTCAGGAGTTTCATAGAATTAATGACTTTATACATAATGAAATTCTCCAAAACATCACAGTCATTCACTGTGTTATAAAGGGAAATACAGACCAGCTTTAACTTCCTGTTTAGCTCACAGTGGTTTGCAAACTGAAGCCTTTTAAATTGGAAATACAAAGTGATAACACCTCAAGACTGTGAGAATATTTTTATAGGGCTTTTATGGATGATACAGGAAAACTGTTTGATTTTAACATCTGCTTTGTGTGTAATACAAAAATTGAGATCAGTGGCAAGTGATTAAGTATATCTCTATTCAGTGAGTGATTTAAGCTTGCACTTGCCTTTAAGCATGTACTCAAGCCTCTTCAGCTGCTTCTTTAGTGCAGGGGAGGTGTCTGTGCAAGGGCAGCTGTCAGTATGAGTCCTCCTGCCTTCTGATGACATGGTTGCTTGCAATCGTTTCTTGGCCACACAGTGACCTCATGGGTGCACGTGCGCATATTGAATCCTCTGGACTCCACAGGAGGAACTTGGGCTATAACCAGGACCATGCCTATAGGCATCCTTCCTCTTCACCCTTGAGGCAGCCCTCCAGATACAAAGTGGACTTAACTCTCAATGTCACTTGCTTAAAGGAATATAAGCCAATGTTTAAATTTTAGATGTCTGTTGGTTTTATTTTTATTTTTTTTTAAAGATGTGTCTGGTTAATTACAAAAATGGACTCTTAAGAAGGAGTCTATTCTATTTTATTGCTTTATTTGGAAATCTGTTTAAGGAAGACAGTTCCCAGTGTTGATGGCCGGGGATTTGCACTTCATGCTTACAGAGAAATTGACTATTTCAAAGATACTATTTAACACCAAGGTACTCTGACAACCTATAATGTACTTTCACCAAATAATTTTCACTTGTGGCAGTTAGAAATTCTGTTGTTTACTAGTAGGCAGGTCTTACTTTCATTAAGGATAACATGAGACTCTATATCCCATCCAATGGCTGAAGCCTTTGGGAAGGTAGACTGCTAGCTGAGCGTCAGGCTAACCTTGCCAACAGTTCACCCTAAACACTGTTTGCTTTACAGTACTCTCCTTTATCAATCATGTAGTAGTAGGAGTGGCAGTACGAAGGAGCTACAGGTTTCTCTTTTGCTCTACTAGGGGCAACATGTATGTTGTGCAGCATGGGATACAGTAGCATCTCTTTTGTTCCCACTGCAGTGAGAATTTCTTATCTGAAATTTAAGAATAAGAAAGATATCTTACAACCTTTGTTGTCGATGTTCAAGGTAGAAGAACTAAAGGGTTGTGCTGCAAGTCCTAAAGGGCAAAAGAATCATGGTGACTTTCCTGAGGAAAGATTAAGAGAACTGTAACCATTTCTATCCATCACTACCTTAGCACTTCAGCATAGTTGATGGGGAGGACGGTTGCTGTTTTACTTACCTGGAGGCCTGTCAAGACAAAGGACAATCTCAAAATTATAGAGCCGGTGTGTTCCATTGTGTTCATTTTGCAACAACAGTTTTGGCAGTGTGAGAGAGTAGTTTTGATTCACAGTAGATCAAATCAAAGTTCTTTTTATCTAGAGGTTAAAGACTACTTACTTGATTGGGTCTGAAGTCCAAATTAAACAGCCAGAGTGACCAAGTTATTTTAGTTCCATAACATCTGTCCTATTTTTAGATTAGAATGTTCTTGTTACAAATCATGGAAAATTAAAGCCAGACCCTAGTTATAAAACAGTACGTGTTTTACACTTTCTGTTACTTACAAACTTTTTCATAGTTGAAATATGTCTAAATCAAGGATTTTGGTTCAGCTAACTGTCAGAAGAGGACTTGGAAAAATATTTTATATCTCAATGTAAATTCACGTGATTTGCTGAAGGTTTTTGCAGATTGAAGCTTTTTAATTGTTTACTACTTTCAAGATCTGCATAAATACATATGGAATTTGGAAAGTGATAAATTTCCTTGAGCCTTGGTTTTAAGACTCTGGGATAAAACTTTTGACATACTTGAATGACTAAAGATTTCAGATATTTCTGGTTATTTGGAGGAAAATGACTATTTAATACCAACTACTTTTTTTTTTTCTTAATATAAAAAACCTTAAGATTTTCAGGCACTTGATAATTAGACTTTGCAAAACTGAAAAATTAATTGTGGAAGACTTCTGATTCTATTCATACGCATGCTATTGAGAGCTGCAATTGAAGTTAGTGTTATCTGTCTGTTTAAAAAAATAAAGTGAATTTTTTTTCCAGTTACGCTGCTTTACTTTCACATTATTGCGTGGTTTTTTTCTTCAATGACTTGTATGCTTACTAAAGCACATAAATGTTCTATAAAACATACTATTAAAATGCATTTGTATTTCATTTGGCCATTCCTAATTATTTAGATGGCTATTCTTCCCAGATATATTTTTGTCAATTATTCATTTAACTGAACCATTGTTCTGTGAGCCCACTAGTTCTCTGTTGCCTTTTGAAGTACAGATCAGATGAGTTCAGTTCAGTAGCATACGTAAGACAGCCATTCTGGTCTAAGGTTAGCCTGAGCCCTGGATGCCAGCAAATCTCATTTGCTTTTATGACCTGAGATGTTCGAGCCTTCCTAAGAACAACCTCAAAGCTGGGTTAACTGCGCAGTGTTATCCATGCAGTGTTACTCTACAGCCTAATGCATTATATGGTGACAAACTCAAGCCAAATGATAGATGGGGCCTAAACATTCCCCTAAAACCTACACTGGATTGTGAGTTTGCACCTCAACCCTTTGGACATGAGGCAACTGGACCTCAGCTCGGGCCTGAACTCATCACAGAGATAACTAGCTTCTTTTAAAGTATCTGTTTCTTTTTCTGTTTTCAGGGATTACAATGGTTGACACAGAAATGCCGTTTTGGCCCATTAATTTTGGAATTAGTCCAGTGGATCTGTCTGCGATGGATGATCATGCACATTCCTTTGACATAAAGCCATTTACCACTGTTGATTTTTCAAGCATTTCTTCACCACATTATGAAGATATTCCTCTTGCAAGAACTGATCAGACAAGCATTGATTATAAATATGATATCAAGCTCCAGGATTGCCAAAGTATGTTTTTAATTGTTTTAGTATTTCCTTCATGTTCACATTTGCTTCATTCTCTGAAAAGTCTACTATCAGCAAAAGGATTTAGAAGTATTCAGATGCCTAAATGCTGGTATCCTGTATCATCAGAGATGTCCACAAGATATTCCTGCAGGGCAGATAGAAAAGGTAGAACACATATAGCAGACCTTCACCCTTCCAGAGCAGCAGTTAGAGATTAGGCAAGGCATCATAAAGTTTCTAAAATGACATTAAACACTTATTACACACATGAACCCCGCCATTTGTTGCTGAAACTTTCAGTCTCCTATTCCTGTATCTTGTGTGTAAATTGTCCTTTGAAGCTCTGTGCACACAATGCAGAATAAATATCCTGGATTTTAAAAAATGCCCCAGCATACATACCGTATTGATTATTAATATGTGTAGCTTTTACATTCCAAAAGACCTAAGAAACTGATGGAGTACAAATATTGGCTATCTCTGAGTCACAAAGTTGGTATAACTTTTATCAGTGTTCCTAACACAGGTGTAACCTTGGAGCTTCGTGAGCTAGTATTATTTATATACTATGAATAACACCCCTCTTCCACCAGTTACAGTAGAAAAAAAAAAAATACACAGAACTCTCCTTTTAAGAAAGGAAGTGACCTATTCTTAAATAAGTTGTTACTGCATTCCT